ATGGTGGAGAATGGAAGGATTTATACTCCTTGCAGACAGCTGGTCGTTTGCATTCTTTTAGAGTCATTGAGGCCACTTGGAGGTTTATCTGTGTTCTCAGGGTCACCTGAGTGGTACAAATGGGTGTGGAGTGTTCTTGGAACTGCTGAAAGGACTGTGTATTACACTGGAGATAGATGATGTTGAACAGCCCTCTCTCAATAGAGGGGAGGGATACGACATCATCTATCTCCAGTCTACAACATAGTCCTTTCAGCAGTTCCAAGAAGGGCCTACACCCATTTGCACTACTCAGGTGACCTTGAGGACACAGACAGATCTCCAGGTGGCCTCAGTGTCTCCAAAAGAATGCAAATGATCAGCTGTCTGCAAGGAATATAAATCCTTCCATTCCCCACCAACCAATTAGAGCTGAAGCATCTTCTTGGATGAGAAGCAAAACGTCTTCAAAGAGAAAAAAGAAAGTCCAGTTGCCTCTTGAAAAAGCACTTTTGGGACAACCATGACCTGGATGACTGAGAATGTCCATAGACATCTCCCTACCAGGTTTCTGGAAGTCATAATATGTGGAGATGTTTCATTAATTCTTGTAGGATATTGTTTCATTACCTGTTTTAAAAAATTGATGACAGACATTCCTTTTTTACTTTCCAGCCTCACTGATGAACCTTGGAGGCTTTCAAGAATCCACTTTGTGTTTTGTGTTGTCCACTAATTGTTCTTTTCTCCTGTCTCCTATTTCAAGTCCTTCACAATGGACATCAAAGATCCTGAGGGAAGCAGGAATCCATCAAATTCTCCTCAGGAGTTGTTTTTGAGGAGTATTTCTCTGGAAGATCCAGGTCTGGACACCTTGGGAGGTAATCAAAGGTCCTCAATTCTCCAGAAAGTGCCACATTCTCTCCTCTTCTGTAAAATTCTCTTCCTATATTATTAACTAGCTGTACCCAGCCACACGTTGCTGTGGCTCATTCTGGTTAAATGGAAAAGAAAGAAAAGACAAAGCGCACGTTTGTAATATATCATGTTTTTACCTGTCACAGGTGTGACATCTATATAATAGTAGGTATATAAAAACACGCACGTATTCGAATGCAACGTTGTGTCAAAATTTCAAAGCAATCGGTGAAGAACTTTCGGAGATTTAAGATTTTGAACAAAAGAACATTTACATTTTTATTTATATAGATTATGCTTTTTACAATTCTGTTTTTCCTCACAGGGAAGACTCCAGTGGAGTTGTCTGCTCTTTATGATGCAGCCCAAACAGTGGTCAAACCACCAACTGAAGTAAGAGGAACAAATTTACTTATTAGATTCAAATTCTCTCTGCCATTCAATGGTACACAGTGCACTCTCTCCTTCCATTCTCTAGAAAAAGTTCAGAGAAGAGCAACAAAGATGATTAGAGGTTTGGAGGCTAAACTGTACAATGGATAGTTGTGGAAACTAGATATGTCTAGTCTAGCAAAGAAGAAGCCTGGGTTGCCATGACAGCAGTTTCCCAATACTTGAGGGCAGTCACAGCGAAATGGGGATCAAGCCGTTCTCCAAAGCAACTGAGAGCAAGACAAAAAGTAATGAATGGAAAATAGTAGAGAAGATAGTAGAGAAGCAACCTAGAACTAAGGAATTTCCTGACGTTGAGAATAATTAACCTGTGGAACAGCTTGCCTCCAGAAGCTGTGGATGCTCCATCACTGAAGGTTTTGAAGAAGAGATTAGACAAAAATTTGTCCAGAATGGTATAGGGTCTCCTGCTTGAGCAGAAGGTTGGAGAGGACCTCCAAGACCCATTCCATCTCTGATACTCTATGATTCTATAATTTTTTCTTGTTCTGGCTTGGATATTTTTGTATTCCTGAGCAACATGGTATTGGGAATAGAAGATTCAAGTTGCTCTTAGTCAGCTTAGCCCCCTCTGAAGCGTATTGTTGGGATACAATGGTTTGTAATTTTTATCTTGAGATTCATATTAAGAAATCGTTTTTTAAAAACAGTACTTAACTCCCCCCTCTTCTAGATACCTTTCCTACTATTAGTTTACACACACTATTTAAAGAGTCCTTCAAGAAATAGGAATATCACAATGGCAGCAAGTGCTAAACTGCACCTATTCTTTTTGTAATTCTTTGACTTGTGCAAGATTGTTAACAAATGCATAAATATTCATATAGCGCAATACCATGTTTAAAAAGCTTTGTCATACATAAACACATCAGATTAAAAGTTTAGGCAGAAGATTAAAATCTAGTGAAGGTAGCCAGATAGTAAAGTCTCTTAAATAAAAATTGCCATGCATGTAATCAAAGCACTTTTGGCTTGCAAAGTAATCTCTAATCCTCTCATTTGTGTCTGGATTTGAAGGCCAAACTATCTTGCTTTGTAAAATTTCCTTCAATCCCAGGAAATTTTCTCTACTTTCTCATCTTCAATTCAGCCAATGAATTGATGATAGATGAGATGATTGATTGATTGATTGATTGATTGATTGATATAGGAAGATAGATGAAAGAGAGATGAGAGAGTGATGAGAGAGAGAGAGAGAGAGAGAGAGAGAGAGAGAGAGAGAGAGAGAGAGAGAGAGATGATAGAGATGACAGATGAGTGATGATAGACAGATGGACAGATATAGATAAATGATAGATAGATAGATGGATGGATGGATGGATGGATGGATGGATGGATGGATAGATAGATAAGGAAACTAGGATTACTTTCATTGAATTGCACTGACAGTCTTGCCACATCAATCATCGATTAAACTTCCCTGAACTATTTCTTCACTCAAAGGCTTTTGATCTAGTTTTATCACCTAAACCTTGGAATCCTACCAAGCAGAGCCGTTCAACTTAGTGCATGTCTTTCCTTTGGGAATAACTTAGTGCATGTCTTTCCTTTGGGAATTTGTACGTAATGGGAGAGACGTTACAAATCCTCCTTGACCCTGTTCGGTTCTTTGTTTTCCTTGTTCAGGAGGGTCTGGTGTCCTTCGAGGAGGTGGCTGTGTATTTCTCCAAGGAGGAGTGGTCTCAGCTGGATTCTGACCAAAAAGCGCTCCATTGGGAAGTCATGCTGGAAAATTATAGGAATGTGGCCTCTCTGGGTAAGCAAGTTTGCTACTCGCCCGTCAGAGAGTTTAGTAATTAAATGCCATCCGCTGTTTCTTATTAAAAGGTCTCCAAAGAGATATCATCTCTTGGGAAGAAGCAGGAAGAGATCTAGCCTTTTTCTACTCCAAGGAAGGAAGTTTATCAGTCTGTCTGTCTGTCCGTCTCTCTGGCCACACACCTATCATCTATCTATCTATCTATCTATCTATCTATCTATCTATCTATCTATCTATCTATCTATCATCCATCTAGCTAGCCGGCCAGCCGACCAGCCAGCCTGTCAGCCCGCCAGCCCTCTCTCTCTCTCTCTCTCTCTCTCTCTCTCTCTCTCTCTCTCTCTCTCTCCATCCATCCATCCATCCATCTATCTATCTATCATCTATCTATCTATCTATCTATCTATCTATCTATCATCTATCTATCATCTATGTATATACATATATCATACAGATTTAATACATATACTAAGCAAACATTTTAGTGCATAAAAATATTGAATATCTATCTACGAGTGCAATTTGGAAATAAACCTCTGTTTGGTTATCAATGACAGACGCTCACAGATACAGAACTTTTATTACACACATTAGAAAACTACAACATTACATTCCTTTTTGACATCATCGCTATTCAAATTGAGGCACTTGTCATAATGTCTTACAAGGTTTGAAATTCCTTAATAGTAGTCGCTCGGCGCCAAATCTGGGCTATGGGGGCGGTGATCAAAAACATCCCAATGGAACTGCTTGAAAAGTTCTTGGGTGCGTCTAGCAGTGTACGGCTGAATATTATCATGAACCAACACCATACCGGAAGTTAGCATGCTCCGATGCTTGTTATAAATGGTTCATCTGATTTTTCGTAACGTTTCACAACAGACATCTAAATTGATGGTCGAACCATGCTCCTTGAACTTCACTAGCAGTACCCCTTTGGCATCTTCACATTTCGTGGGATTTTCTATGGCACCACTTCCGGTCTGGTGTTGGTTCACGATAATGCTTGCCCCCACACCGCTAGATGCACCCCTGGTCTAAATGATCTTAATAAAGGAGAATATTTGTACCTCATGGTTGAAATGAGGGATTATTGGTGTTTTCTGAGCTTGGTTATATTCTTGCAGACGTTTCATTACCCAAACTGAGTAACATCATCAGGGCCAGTAAGGAGTAAGAACAAACCCTACTCCTTACTAGCACTGATGATGTTATCTAGTTTGGATAATGAAACAACTGCAAGAAAACAAGCACGTTTAGAGAGCAGAACCCCTCAGGTTTTTCATTCTGTAACATGGGGGACAAGAGAGACCCCAACATCAGATCTTATATCAACCCGATACCAGGCATAGCCCCATGTTTTGAACATGCCCTGATAGACACAGGCAGAAGAATCACAAAAAGAGCTAAAAGGAAGACGACCTGAGAGTGTAGGAGCTTAATTTTGGCTAATGTTCAAATAAGAGATGCAAAAATGAGGGGGCTTGATCCTGTTTGTGCCTCACATTATGTACACTTTTTTTTCTGCTCCAATCAGGTGATGAATGGGCGATGATGGGTTCTGGCCAAAAAGCAGCAGCACCGTTGCCAAAAGGCAGAATGAAAGACACAGAGACATTTTTTGGAAAGCAAAGTCATGAGGAAAAACAATTAAAGGGGGAGCTAGAGAAATGCTCTACTTTACCACATGTAGCTGTCGCACATGTAGCTGTCGGTGACTTCTCAGGCAAAGATGCTCAGCCAGAAAAAGAGGCTTGGCCACAGTGTGGAAAAATACCCACAGATGAATTATGTGACTGTTGCAGAAGCCACACGGTAGAAAAACAAAATGAACGTGGAAAACGTTTCCGAAGGACCTTCTCGGCTACTTTGCGTCAGAGAATACAAGGAGAGAAACCATATAAATGCCTGGATTGCGGAAAAAGCTTCAGAGACTCAAGTTATCTTACTTCCCATAAAAGGATCCACACAGGAGAAAAACCGTATGAATGTAAGGAATGCGGAAAGAGCTTCCGTTTTGCACAAAGCCTCACTTCCCATAATAGGATTCACACAGGCGAGAAACCATATGAATGTCCCAAGTGTGGAAAGACTTTCAGTCAAAAATATCAGTATACTGTACATAACCGAAACCACACTGGAGAGAAACCATATAAATGTACGGAGTGTGGAAAACGCTTTACTAATTCAAGTTGCCTCACTTCCCATAAAAGAATCCACACAGGGGAAAAACCATATAAATGCCCGGAGTGTGGAAAGAGCTTCAGAGCATCAAGTTCTCTTACTGCTCACAAAATGATCCACACCGGGGAGAAACCCTACAAATGCAAGAACTGTGCAAAAAGCTTCAGACAAAAATGTCAATATATTGTACATAACAGAATCCACACCGGGGAGAAACCGTATAAATGCTTGGAGTGCGGAAAAAGTTTCCGTTCGGCAAAACATCTCCCTTCCCATAAAAGGATCCACACTGGTGAGAAACCGTATTCGTGCAAGGAATGTGGGAAGAGCTTCAGTGAAAAACATCATTTTACTGAACATAACAGAATCCACACTGGGGAGAAACCGTATAAATGCTTGGAGTGTGGAAGATGTTTCACTGTGTCAAGTTCTCTCACTTCCCATCAAAGGATCCACACTGGGAAAAAATCATACATCTGCCTCGTGTGTGGAAAGGGGTTTACTCAACATCAGTCCCTTTATGAGCACAGAAAAATTCACTTGAGGGGAACACATAAAAAGAAACAGAGTAGAACCGTATAAACAAATTGTCAAATATTTGGGACTTTTGAGCTATTCATTATTGTGGAGAAATGAAATGTTAGGGAATGAATGGAAGATAAGAAGGAACAACGATTCTGAGAGAGTGGAGAAAAATAACTACAATTGGTTTTTTTTTTATATAATATTGAGCATTTGTCCATACAGAGCCCCGAATATAATCTTTCTTGGAAGATCCACTTTGGAACTCTTTGCTTTTTGCATCTGTCCATTTATTGGCCATTAGAAGCACTTAACATAGTTACATAACAATGACTCTGGCCTTTGACTTTGCTCTTTTTGCTCCTTAATTTACATCTCCATCACTGAACATTAATTACAAAGACTGTCAACACTTTCAGTTCTGCAATAGTGGCGAATATCTGTAGCTCAGATATAAGATGAGGATGAAGATTCGTTCTCCGAACATTTCATTACCAGACTAGGTAACATCTTCAGCAGAGTTTAGGGGATGTCAGGGTTAAGTGTGCTTGTTTATAAGGGCTTCAGGAGTGGGTGTGTCAAGAGAGGGTCTTGTGATGGGTCAGCCTCTCATCAGTGAGAGGCTTGTGATGGGGAGCAATTCCATCAACAGGCACGTTGACCTACACCCAGCCTATGAACTCCTCAGAATCCAAATCCACCACAGCCAACAGGAGAGAGTACCGAACCTCAACCAACCCATGTAAGCCCCCCAGAAGTTCACCTTCCAATGACCCTGACCTGATGTAACCAGCATCAAATTGCTGGGTGTGCAGCTAACGAGTAGGCTGGCTTGGTCAACAGTGAGAAACTGGTGAAGCGGGCACAGCAGCGCCTGCATTTTCTGCGTCGCATGACAAAAGCACATCTTCCTTCCCCTGTTCTGACCACTTTCTACAGGGGGACGATCGAGAGCATCCTGTCATACAGCATCACAGTCTGGTGTGGAAGCATCACCGCTTCAGACAGGAAGGCGGTGCAGAGAGGTGAGAATGGCTGAAAAGATCATTGGCAGTTCCCTCCCTCCCATCCAGGACATAGTACAGAAGCGTTGCTTGAGCAGAGTCCGCAAGATTATCTGGGACACTACACATCCTCTTCATGACCTGTTTTCCTTGCTACCTTCTTGGAGGAGGGGGCTTCATGGTATCCGTAGCAGAACATCCAGATTCAGCCATAGTTTCATTCCATACGGCATTAATCTTGTGAACTCTCAAGCTTCCTCCTTCCGTTATATATTCAAGATGGACAGTATTTAATATTTATTTGTTACGTATATGTAGGGGTGTGGGTCTATACATATGCTGTATATAGTATGTTTAGGTGTGTGTCATATATGTGTTTCACTTTGAGAGCGGGCAACTAAATTTCATTTTTGATGTGTGTTGTGCCCACAGTAAAAAAAAATGACAATAAAGGTTATCTTATCTTAACCTCCCCATCTCAAAACCCATCACAAGACCCTTTTTTGACACACCCACACCTAAAGCCCTTATAAACAGAAGAACACTGACAATGACATTCCCTAAACTCTGCTGAATATGTTACCTAGCCTGGTAATGAAATGTTCAGAAACCAACCCACAAGCTGAGAGAAAGACCTTCACCTTCACTTTCAGTTCTCTTTTATTTAGTCTTCTGTCTTCCTCAACTCTTGGGATGACAAAAAACACCATGCCAGGTTTAAGCCATGGATGGGCAATTTCAGCTTTGCTGTCATCCTGCAATTTCTTCAATAAAGGTCTCTTTTGGTTTTCATTCTTTTAAGGACTAGTCTCCAGAATTGTTTTTATATAAAGTTTCAGTCTCGTAGCTTCATTCTTCCTTTTTAAATGCACTTTTTACCTATGCAGCACAGGACAGGAATCTGGACAATATTCCAGAGTTACAATGTCCAAGATCAAAGGTTTTCTTCCTTATATCCCCAGTAGTTTTCCCCACCTAATCACAAAAACCATTATTGAATCGGGGTTGGGTTGAAGTCCAGCCACATAGGTCTTTAGGAATTCCATCCAACACATAGATTCTCTGATTTATAAGGGGGTTTGAACCATTAGGGATTGATCCAGTGTAACTTTTTCTCGGAAGAGAAAGTATCTTATGATAAAAGTTGGCTGAGTACTTGGCTCAGCTGGCCATGGGTGCAGAGGAAATCCCTCTCTTTAAAAAGACATCAGAACTGGAGCTGAATACCCCCTCCTGTTTTTCCTACAACTAACAGCCTGTGAATGGTTTACCAAAATTGAAGGACAGGCCAAAAGTCACCCAGCTGATTTCCATGCCTAAGGGCAGAGTTTCCCAACCTTTCGCCATTGGTGGCCTGGAATGGGTGTGAGGGGACGGTTTTGTGGGAGGGGTTAGCCCGTGTTCTTGCGCGTGAACACCTGCAACCTTTGCGGTGATGCTCGCGTGAGTGGATGCACAAGTGGGGCTGCGAATGCTCATGCGAGTGGGGCTGCAAACGCCTGTGACACTCACACAAATGCAGCCGCAAACGCCCATGGCAAGGCTCACACGAGTGGGACCACGAACACCCACAACACACCGAGCAATGGTCGTGTGACAGGCTGTGTGTGAGACCACACCTGGAATACTGCAGCAAGTTTTGGTCATCATATCACAAAAAAGATGTTGAGAGTTTGGAAAAAAATCAGAGAAGAGCAACTAAGATGATCAAAGGCCCGGAAACTAAAACATATAAAGAATGGCTGCAGGACTTGGGTTTGGCTAGTAGTCTAAAGAAAAGAAGAAATAGGGGAGACATGATAGCAGTATTCCAGTATTTGAGGGACTGCCACAAAGAAGAGGGGGTCACATTATTCACCAAAGCACCAGAGGGCAGGACAAGAAACAATGGCTGGAAACGGATCAAAGAGAGGAGCAACCTGGAATTAAGGAGAAACTTCCTGACAGTGAGCACAACTAACCAGTGGAACAGCTTGCCTTCAGAAATTATGGTGCTCCCATCACTGGAGAGTTTTAAGAAGAAGCTAGTTAAGTATTCATCGTACATTGACTGCCTTAAGGAGAAATTTTCTGACAATTTGGGTGGGGGGTTGGGCTAAATGACCTAAAATGTAGCTTTCAACTCTGTTATTCTATGTCTTAGTCTATGTCTCATCCCTTTGTAACAGCCTCTATTTAAAAAAAAAGGAGGGTAAGACGCTTTTGAAGAGGACATGACAGCCTCTCACGGAAAATGCAGCCTTTCTCCTCTTTTTACCTTGAGCACCTGCGTTGCACAAGGCATCCACCAGGGGGCTCCCTCTGCCAAGCGAAGGGAACACAGTGCACTTCACAGCTGGCTTTCCAGAGGAGGAGGAGAGAAGGGAATTACATCACAAAGCTTTGCCTCTCTAGGACCCTGCACTCTCTCTCCATCACCCTCTGAGCTTTGCTGCAGGTAAAAGAAAAAAAAAAGGCTGGGGGAATGTCTTGCAGGGGAGGCAGCCAGATATGGCCCTAAGGGAGGAGAAGGGGGGGGGGTTGCTCTTCCCATGCAAAGGGAGGCGGAGGGTCCTCATCCTGGAGGAGGGAGGGACACATGCCAAGTCCTCATCCAAGTTCAGTCTTCTGAGTCCCAAGAGTGGGAGAGACCAAATCCCATGTTCCCCTGCTGTCCCCCCCCTTTCCATGCACACAACAGACACGTGGGGGGGGGAAGCAGAGGACCAGACCAGCCTTGTTGCCCCCTCCTCGACGGAACTCAGGATTCCCAGGAAAGAGGTGGGGACTGGGGAAGTCCTTCCCGCCTGGTTTTCTGGGAACAGCTGGGGGGGGGGGGTAAGGCGGGAGAAGAAGGAAGATCTCAAGCAAGAGATAAGAAAAGCCTTGGAAGACAGGAGATGCCCCAGATGGGTCCGGATTCCCACTAGGTGCTGGATGAGGCTCAAAGAGAGCCAAATCCTTCACAATGGAACCTGTCTTGGGAGGGGGAGTGAAGCAGGACAGTATCCCCAGACCATGTTGGGGGGGGGGAACGTGGCTCTTACCGTTGACTGACCCATTTGGGCTCAGGGCACATTGTGTGAACCTGTCTGCATGTAAGAGTCTGGCTTGGCTCTCCAAAAGAGTCTTGAACAAGAGCATCTTAAGCCATGGTCATGTTCTTGGAGCATCTTAAGCCAGGGTCATGTTCTTGCATTTCTTTTGAGGTGAACAGAGATTTTATGGTTGGCTAATTTGTTTGGAGTTTTGACATGTTGTGTGAACCCTGCTTGCTTTTTTAAAAAGCAAGACCTTCCTTGTGAAAAAGAAATATATAAAATGCTCCAAATACATTTATTCAGCATTCCAAGAATAGAATAGAATAGAATAGAATAGAATAGAATAGAATAGAGTAGAATAGAGTAGAGTAGAGTAGAGTAGAGTAGAGTAGAGTAGAATAGAGTAGAGTAGAGTAGGGTAGGGTAGGGTAGGGTAGGGTAGGACAGGACAGGACAGAACCTTGGAGCTCTTCTAGTCCAACCCCCTGCTCAGGCAAGAAACCGTATACTATTTCAGAAATATGGTGGTCCAGTCTCTTCTTAAAAACCTCCAGTGTTGGAGCATTCACAACTTCTAGAGGCAAGTCGTTCCATTGATTAATTGTTCTAACCGTCAGGAAATGTCTCCTTAGTTCTAGGTTGCTTCTGTCCTTGATTAGATTAGGGTTAGATTAGAAGATCTCCAAGGTCCCTTCTAACTCTATTATTCGGTTTTGTTCTGAATTTATTTTATTTTCTATCTTAGAGACACAAACTGGAAGGCATTTGTACTCATCATATAATTTTATAGATAAAAGTATCTCTCGACTAAAGAGAGCTGAACGTCTATCACCACAGCTGCAGCAAGAGAAACAGTCCTTTGAATGAAACGTTTCTTGGAGATTCACGTAAGAGTCCTAGGACCCATTTGGCGTTGCATTACAGGACAGAGAAAGAATGGAGACCCAACCTTTAGCAAGTGAGGGAACTGGAAAAGGCCTTTCAGCTGTTCAAC